ATGGTCGAATGAATAACATATGTTTTTTTTTATATCACTTTTTTATTATAGCATGTTTCCAATTGAATCCATTTTTATAATAAATACCTGCCTGTCTTTTAATAATGCCCACTTCTTTTCCATTTAAAGTTCATGGCTATTTTGTAAAATTGACAGTCAAGTCGAACAAACAACCACATGCAAAATTGTTCGATAAAACGTGATTAAAGCCAATGAACCTTTTATTCGCCTAAACAATTGCACCTTTAGAATAGATAACTAATAAGCTTTTATAATCTCTCAGATATAATAAATAGTAATGCCAATAATACCACCTTAAGAACGACAAATAATTGGCAAAAGTAGGCGTCTTAAAGTGGTTATTTAAATTGTGACAAATTGTCATTAATTTACACAACAAAAAATATATAAAATCTATGAAATAAAAAAAATATTTTAAAACTATACATTTTTATTCAATTGGGATTTAGTTTCACTATTTATAAATCGAATAATTAATAAAATCACTCCGAAAGCGAAAGTCAGCTGATTTTTCTCAACTCCAATGTCAAAAATTTGGACTTTGTTTACGTTTTCGTAATGGAAGTCTGTTCACAATAATGGATTTTGACAGCAAACTTGAGAAGCAGCTGGTCTCGCTGGATGCGCTTATTAATAATATACATTGATATAAAGTTGTCAGTCAGCTGATATACATTAAAGCATATTATTATTGTCATGGCTGCCTAATAAGGTCAACTAGAAAGCGAAAAAACAGTTTTATCACAAATTTATTATCAAAAATATAGACGTAATTTACGTTTTCATAATCAGAAGTCAATTCACAATAATGATTTTTTACAGCAAACTTCAGGATAGCTGATATGCAGTTGATATTCCTGAAAGACGCTATTAATAGGTCGTTTTCATAATGTAACTTCAATGCACAATAATCCATTTTTACGGCAAACTTGAGACCAACAGCAAGCGAAAGTCAGCTGTTTTTTTCTCAAGTCGAATGTCAAAAATGTGGACGTTGTTTACGTTTTTGAAGTCAATTCACAATAATGCATTTTTTACAGCAAACTTGAGAACAGCTGATCTTCCTAGACGGTCTTATTAATAGGCCTTGAATAATGCATTTTAAAAGCAAACTTGAGAACAGCTGATATGCAGCTGATCTTCCTGAAGGACGCTATTAATAGGCCGTTTTCATATTATATCTTTAAGATCTGATTAAGATCTATTAATAAGGTTACCCAGTAAGCGAAAGTAAAATGTTTTTTTTCTCAAGTCTAATGTCAAAAATTTGGACGTTGTTTACGTTTTCATAATGTGAAGTCAATTCACAATAATGAATTTTTTATCTTATCTTCTTTTGATCTCCCTGTGGGAATTATAAATAGGTCATTTTCATACTGTAAAGTCAATTCACCATAATGAATTTTGACAGGAAGCTGTAAGATCTTAACATAAATTAACCTAGAAAACCTGTAACTATAAATCGATAAGTAATTACAACCAATCGATTAGTACTTATAGTACGTTTACATTGTCCCGTATTTCGAAAACCCAGTGGGTTTCAATTGTCAATTCCTTTACCCCGGTAAAAAGTTCTAATGTCGTTACGTAAAAAAAAAATTAAAAAGAATATTTATTGTAATTTTTTTTAATCAATGTACTCATTGACCTTTGTCTCAAAAAAAAAAAAAAAATACTTGAAAACAAAAACCCCAATTATAAATCACTACTCATTTTTGTATAAATTAATTATTCTTTTCCCTTATTTTAAAATTTCCGACACATGCACTTCACTTACTTATCACAAGTACCTAGGGACGCGTGTAATAACCTTGATTATTACTATTATCGCAGATAATTTGTAGTAAGGTATGACAAAATACTCTCTCACATGTGTTACTTTCCTATGGCTCTTAGATTATCTTAAGTGTGGCCAGCCAGCCATCCAAAAAAAAAAAAACTAATCAATAAATAATTTCCTTGGGAAAAATAAGGCAATTGACATTAAAGATAATAATACAATAACAAAAGAAATGACCACAATCTCCAAAAAATTGATTGAGTTTATCAGTGTGTAATTGTCAAACGTCAAACGATCATAAAATGAATTGTCAAAATGGCTAACATATTTATGTTTTAGCTAACGTGTGCCTTAGATTATCAAGGGGTAATATTTTTTGGACTCAACGCCTTCGGTAATCGCAAACGATTAATAAATTCCTTAGAGGGGCATAAATAAAATAAGGCAATTTGTTTTTGGCATATAGGCCCACAAATCACATGCCAAAAAGTAAAACCTACTGACCAAAATTTATGAAATCTCATGCTATTGACTTATCAGACGTCAAATTCAAAACGTCAAATGTATTATAACAACAATTTAGCAAAAGCTTACTTTAAATCATTGTTAAATATGAGTCTTATTGCTTTTTTTGTTTACCATTATTTAGCAATTCCGACAAGAAGTTATAATAATTTCTGCTGGTTTTATGTTTTTGACAACTCAGCAATGACATCAATTGTATTTTATATGAACCTACCATAAAATGTCACATGTGACTGCAAAAGAAACAAAATTATACTTTGTTCACAGCATGTTATCATTTTATGACAGCGAGTACCGGCAGCGGCTGCACTTACCGATGATAAATGGTTAATATTAGTATTGGATTATTGATAAATAAATAATAAACTGTTCGGGGTGTATGAACTACTTGTACGCAATATACATACAAATATACAACAATAAAATAGTCTTTTAGATTTCCCCTTTTATAATTTGTTTAACTTTTTGATAAGAAATCTTCGATTTTCTTTAATGCAAAGGAGAGGTGTAATAAATTGAAATATGTATGCCACTTATTGACATAGTAATTTATGATAAATAAATGTTTTCGCGGAATCCAATCATGTACATATTTTATAAAATCAATAGACGATAGATAAATGAAAACAAAAAAAAAATAATATGGAAGCTGATAAAATATAATCGTGTCAGCTGATTGGCGCCCGGCGAACACACTATCGATTAAAATGTGTTGCTTATTTAATAGTACGTTTACATTTAACCAGATTTCGTTAACCCAATGGGTTTCAATTGTCAATTCCTTTGCATATATGTCAAATAAATCCTCATAAAGTAGGCTAACCCGGTAAAAAGTTCTAATGTATATGCCGTATAATAGACAGAATTAAACCGGTTTGATGTAAACTTAGTCATATATGTGCATATACTTAATATTAAAATATAATTCCATTTAATGAAAAATGTGTCGAATTGATCCTCGAGATATAAATGTCCCTTAAACTAGCTCCTTGTCACGTGATTTAATAATTTAATTAATAAGGACACCCAGAAAGCGAAAACAGCTGTTTAAAAAAAATTGCTCTTTACGTTTCATAATGTGAAGTCAATTCACAATAAAGAATTTTAACTTGAGAACAGGTGATATGCAGTTTATCTTTCTGGATTAATAGGTCCTGACATTAGTCGTGACCAAAAAAAAAAAAAAAACAGCTGATTAAAAAGTCAACTGAAAAGTCAACTAAGAATTATTTAATAAGCGCAACCAGAAAGCGAAAACAGCTGTTTAAAAAAATGATTGCTCTTTACGTTTCATAATGTGAAGTCAATTCACAATAATGATATGCAGCCCTGACATTAATCGTGTTTAGACCATGCCTTCTAAATCATCACTAATTGACGAAATCATGATGTTATTTAGACTAAACAAGGCATACATTATCAGTCAGCTGATATTAAAAACGAATATACCTAACAAGGTTTATTATAAGGTAACAAAAAAGCGAAAAACAGCTGTCAAATATTTGGGTTTTTTACATTTTCATAATGTGAAGTCAATTCACAATAATGAATTATGACAGCAAACTTGAGAACAGCTGATACACAGATTATCTTCCTGGTTAACCTAATTAATCGGCCTTGATTCCTTTTTTTAATAATTGCTACCTTAAACGCGTTTAGAATATCCCTACCAAGGCTTATAAATAAGGTCATCCAGGGAGACAAGCTGGATATCAGCTGCCACTCAAGTTTGATGTCAAAATTGGCTTCCATTATGAAAACGTAAACAAAGTTAAAATTTTTGACATTAGATTTGAGAAAAAACAAATAGATCTTGATCCCTACCATGGCACAATGAATAGGTAATCCATTTAGAGCAGCCGATGTCTTGATTAACTGTCAAAGTGCGTAATTTCGACTTGAATTCGATGTGCGATGTTGCCAACCATGTGAAATATTATAAGAAAAAAATTGACAGAATATCGAGACAAAAACAAAGGATTCTGTTTTGAGGCTATCCATGAAGATCAGCTGTTTACCATACGTTTACAAGATACAAGACAGTCAGGGTTTATTCACTAAATTGTCAATTTTTTACCTAATCCATTACTTTGGTTTCAGAATCTATAAGAATAAGTCTATTAATCGAATTTATTGCCGATTTTCCCTTTATAAATTTGAAAAGTTTTACCAATTTTTGGAGTTCGGGAATAGATTAATATCAAACAGCTGATATTAGTTAACATACCCATATGGTCTGCTCCCGTACACAAAACGTGGTAAATTTTTCTAAATTTATATCGAAAACAATTTCTAATCGTAGAAGACCCATGCAGGTTCTTGAACAGTGCATTAAATTACAAAAAAAATTCAAAATTTATTCAAAAATATTTTCATAAAAAACTGTCAGTTGTGTTCGTTTACTGTCGCAGTAAATATTGCTCCTTACCATTATTAAATTAAATAGTTTTTTCACTTTATAAATGAAAATTTTAATTTTGTATTGGTTTTTATTTGTTATCCACCCTTTCTTAATTCATTTTTTGCAATATAAACAAAAATTAAACGAATTCTATTTACATTAACATCTAAACGATATAAACACCAATCAGCTGATATTTGTTTACATACCCATATGGTATGTTACCGTACACAAAAAAGTGTCAAAACTTTTTCAAATTTATTATAGTATACAATGAATAAGAATAAATATGGTAATAATTATCACGATCTAAAGGTACGTTTAGATTTACAAAATCTAATGGATCTCAAATGTCAAGTTCATAGCTTATATGTCAAATATAATCCACTGGATTTGTGAACAGGATTAATGTGACGTCTGTGCAATGGAATTGATGTTTAAAATCGAGTAGATTTAGTAGTCTAAACGTTTTCTAAAATGTAGTCAGAACGCGATTTAAAGGTTCGTTTAGATTTAAGAAATCCACTCGAACACAAATGTCAATTCCATTGCGTATACGTCAAATATTGAATTGTGAACTGAATTTACGTATCGTATACGCAATGGAATTGACGTTTGGGATCGAGTGGATTTATTAGTTTAAACGTAGCCTTAGTTTTAAATGCAACTCTGCTGATACTTTGAAGAGCCGTGATTACACATTTCGGCGGCAGAAACCACATTTACACGATTATGATTAATTTGACACAATTTCCTTAGAATAACGTAAAAAATGTGAAAGAAATCTAAAAGTAGAAAAACTCACAATTGAAAAATATATGAAACACCCCCTTTCTTTTAGGCCGCCCTTCATGATAAGATATTGAATTCATTCATTTTTTTCACAATTAATTATATCTCAATTATATTTCAATTTCTCATTGCAAAAATCTAAAACTAAAGTATTAACATTTCAACGCAATGAGAAACGAGATTAAAAAGTTGTGAATAATTAATCATTTAGGTATTAAATAGTAAAACAAAAACAAAAAAATGGTGCACACACCCCCTCAGAAAATATATCTACTAATTAATTAAAAAAAAATTAAATTGAAACAACAACTAATTACTTTTTGTTTATTTTTATTTTTTTATAGATGTCTTCAGATAGCATATCTACATCGAAAGAGAAGTCATGTTCAGTGGCCACATTAAGTGATTTTCACTCCAGGTAAGATTGAAAAAATATCTATATTTAAAAAAAATATATACTAACTGTCATATTTTCTTAGAACAAATCTTACCGAAAAGGGCCAACAAATCGATGAATATGATCCCTTTGCCAATCGTGATCAGGAGGGTGGCGCCTCAACAAGTGGTGCCTTGGCCCATTTACTAAAATCTTCATTGGGTACGGGTATCTTGGCTATGCCCTTGGCCTTTTATAATGCTGGTCTATTATTTGGTTTAATTGGCACAATTGTTGTGGGTTTCCTGTGTACCTATTGTGTACATATTTTGGTAAGTAAATTTATTAAAGTTTTTAATTTTTTCCTTGAGTGTAAACACAACGAGAGAGAGACAAAATTTTCAAAATTTTGGATGCAAGATCAATTAATATAAAAAACAGCTGACATTCGCCAGCTGTTTTTTTTCTCATATCTAAGGTCAATAAAATTGTACTTTGTTTACGTTTTCATAATGGAAGTCAATTCACAATAATGGAGTTTGACAGCAAACTTGAGGATCAGCTGATTTGCTGCTGGTCACCCAGGATGGCCTTATTAATCGGCCATATTTGCATACATGCAAAGATATATTTTATAATGTGACACAAGTAGCAATCGAAATCGGAAAACAGCCGTTTTTCTCAAGTATAATGTCAAAAATGTTGACGTTGTATACGTTTTAATAATCTGAAGTCAATTAACAATAATGCATTTTGACAGCTAACTTGAGAATCAGCTGATTTGCAGCTGGTCACCCAGGATGGCCTTATTAATCGGCCATGTTTGCGTACATATCGTACGTCACATTATCGTATTGTCATTAAACACTGTCTCAATAGGTCCATTATCACATTGACGTGTTTATTTAATTTGATGCTTAAATTGTATTAATAATTAGTGACAAATGGCAGTCAATTTTGACACTTCACTTCACTTGTTTTCATTCGTTCTCAGAAGAAGTTCTTAGCGACAACAAAAACATATATATGGGTAATTTTTTTTTTATTTATCAGTGGACATGTGAATTAAATTTTGCTACCCAATGATTGATCACACTCTTCTTGTGATAAAAAAAAACAACAAAAATTAGTTCAAGGCTTGAATTCTAATCATATCGTTGTAATATAATATTAGGGTGTCAGACATATTTGCTAACAATTTCCGATAAAACCCATTGCTTTTTTTTTAACAGCCATTGTTCTATATTCTGAAGTAGTTGATAATTTATATTAGCAATAATTGCATTGAATTTATCAAAGGCATTTATATTGTGGTTAAATATGCACATTAATGGCAAATCTATGTTGTTTTTTCTGCGACAATAAAATTTTAAATCAATTTAATTTGTTGCCTACGATATGAAATTTATATCTAAATGGCTTTTTGAGTAATAATTCTAGATAATAGCATTTATGCGATTTAAACGGCATGCACTTGAGAACTTTCTGCAGATGTTATAGTACATTTACATTGTACTGGACTGGGTGTAGTAAATTCAGTTGGTTTAAATTGTCAATTCCACATACATATATGTCAAATAAATTCTCATAAAGTACCCTTCAAAAAATTACAATGGATTTGTTTAAATTCAGGTACGTTTAAATTTACGAAATCCAATCGATCTCAAATGTCAATTATCATTGCTTATACGTCAAATATAATCCACTGGATTTGTGAACAGGATTAACGTAACGTATACGCAATAGAATTGACATTTTAGATCGAGTGAATTTAGTAGTCTAAACTTAGCCTAATATGCAATGAGATTGACAATTTAAAACCATTGGTACAATGTAAATGTACTATAATGTAGATAAGATTGTGATCTTTATATCAAGATTTATTAATAAGGTCACCAAGATAGCAATCGAAATCGGAAAACAGCTGTTTTTTTTTTCTCAAGTCTAATGTCAAAAATTTCGACTTTGTTTATGTTTTCATACTGGAAGTCAATTCACAATAATGCATTTTGACAGCAAACTTGAGAGGTATCGATTATCAGCTGGTCTCTCTGGGTGAACTTATTTATAGGCCATGCCATGATGCAATAATAAGGTGATGTATCAAAACAAAAACATTTTTTTGGCAGCATTGCACATCGAATTCAAGTAAAATTTACCACTTTGACAGTTAATCAAGACATCAGCTGCTCTAAATGGACTACCTATCCATTGTGTCATGGCCTATGCTTTATATGTTTCATTTACTTAAGCGGCCTATACACGATACATTTAAAATTTATAATTAATGGTTATTTTTTGGGTAATAAATTGCATTGCTTATAACTCGATTGTTTATGTTTTCAAACTGTGAATAATGTATTTTGACACAAAAAAAAAATAAGAAACAGCTGATGGACATTCTTATTAAAAGCCATTGACACAAATATATTATTCAGCAAGGACTATCAATAAGGTCATCTACGGAGATCAGCTGCTTTTCAAGTTCGCTGTCAAAATCCACGTTCAAATGTTTGACACTGGACTTGAGAAAAAACAGCTGTCTTTCCTTGGCTAGGCCAACTTATTAATAGATCTTTCAAAATGTTTACATTTAATTTGAGAACAGCTTTCAGATCGAACTTATTAATAGACCCTGTTCTTCAGAAATCAATAAAAAAAAAATGGTAATAAAATTTGATAGTGTGTTGTATAGGCCTTTATAGATGAATTTTAAAAGCGAGTATACACGAAGTTTAGAATGGCCGTTCGGCCTAAATTTAGGGAATTTTATATATGACATTTAATGCGACTTTATATATTCAGCTTGAAAATTTATTCGAGCTTTTTTTAGATTTCGGTTTGTATTGTATATTTTCAAATAATATTAATTAAAAATTATTTAAAACGCTATTTACGTTAGAACTTTTGACCGGTTTTACCTACATTATGAGGATTTTTTTAAATATTGGAAATGAAATTGACAATTCCATTGGGTTAATGAAATCCGGTACAATGTAAACGTATTATTAATTGGTGTTTGTAAGGAATTTATCATGGTACAATTATAAAAGGTAACAGCAAATCCCAGCTGATTGGATTCCAACGTAATACTAGTGTCAATATTTATATAAATTTGAAAATGGTCTTTATTAAATGTGCTCTTGTATTCAATTTACTCAATCTGCCTGCTGGGAAAGTTTCTCTCTTCAAGGAATAACTCGTATTCCCAGCATTTTCATATGTGTTGCACATATATATGGCAATGGCTCAATTATAGGAATGATGTGGAAGCGATAGAAATATAAATTTGATAGATTTTCATTCATGTTTTTCAATTTTTATTTTGAGGATTCGAAAATATTTCATTTTCAAAATAAAAATAATTTGATGATAATTTGTTTACATTTTTCTGTCAAATGAGTTGACACTAGTAGAACTTACAACAACAAATTTCCATGTGGTTGTTGTATCGTTTTTTGTACAACAACACTTGCTGTTACCTTCTATTATTATACCATGGGAATTTATATAAATGACTTTAAAGGTGCATTTGTTATGACCATGACACAATGAATAGGTAGTCCATTTAGCGCAGCTGATTGATTAATTGTCAAAGTTGGTAATTTCTACTTGAATTCGATGTGCAGTGTTGCCAAACATTTGAAATATTATATGGAAAAATTTGACAGATAATCGAGACAAAAACAAAGGTTTTTATTTTGATACATCACCTTATTATTACATCATGGTTATGACTTTTAATGCGTGTTTAAAGATGACATTTAATGCATATTTACATATGACTTTTGCGCCAACCTTCTAGATGATTTTTTAAAGTACGTTTAGATTTACGGAATAAACTCGATTTCTAAATGTCAATTACATAGTGCATTATTCAAGTAAATCCTATTCATAAATCGAGTTGATTTTATGAGACGAATTCGAGATTTTCATTCTACAAATGATCACAACATTGCAGGAACATTTCAATTGTTACAATTTTCCTTTTCGAATTCCAAAAAAAATATTTATATTTGTTGCGCACATTAATAATTGAAGTATGTATGCAAACATCAACTGATTGTCATTCCTGGCCTAGGATAGTTGTAAACAGCTAGGGTGTATTTATGGATTTTGTTAATCGGTTCGATTTAAAAACTTATATGTAAATGTACTGTTACTATTAAAAAAAAAGTACGGGTACGAGCCATCATATATATTGTTTGCACACCAGGCCCGCTAATGAGATCATCCAGAGAGACCAGCTGGATCTCAGCTGATTCTCAATTTTGGTGTCAAAATTCATTATTGTGAATTGGCTTCCTTTATGAAAACGCAAGCAAAGTTCAAATTTTTAGCATTAGACTTGAGAAAAAAAAAACGTTGAATTTTATTAGACATGTTTTACAAAAGCATTTCATTAAAATTTTTAATATTTAACATTTGAAATTAAGATAATGTATGAATATAATAGAATATTCAGTTTTTACTCGATTTTTGGTAAAAATCATAACAATTTGTTCGCATTTTTAGTTGAAAAAATTTCAAGTGAACACACATATTTATTTTATAGCTGACAGGAGAAGCCATTCCACACAGAGTTGCATTTTTGGGTTATTCACCTCAAAATGTACTACTTGTATTTTCATACCATGATTATTTTCTTTTCGTGTCTTTTGAAGATATTTTTCGTTATAAGGAAAACATGTTTATATCATGCATGTTTTATGCAAAGATTTAATTAAAATCTTTAATATTTGAAATTAAATTCATATTCATAGAATATTTAGATTTTACTCGATTTTTAATAGAAATCATAATCATTTTTCGCGTTTTTAATTATGAGAGGAAAAATTCAAATGATGTTCCTAAACACAACAACATGTTGGGTATATTTGATTCATATGTGACGGAAGAAGGCAATACATACAGAGTTGCATTTTTGTGTGAATATCCTATTTGTTATTATTATACCATGATTATCTTTTCAAAATCTTTAATATTCTCAACATTATTTGTTTTCTTTTAGGTTAAAACATCCCATGATATTTGCAAAGATGCCAAAGTACCATATTTGGGTTTTGCTGAAACCGCTGAGAAAGTATTTGAATATGGCCCCAAAGCCTTGAGACCATGGTCAAATTTTGCAAAGTAAGTGTAAAGGAAAATAAAAAAAAATAAACCCTAAATAAATTTTCTAATTGTTTTACTTAATTTCTTCCCTAGACAATTTGTTGATGGATCTCTGATGGCGACATATTACGCCGCCGCCTGTGTTTATATTGTCTTCATTGCTACCTCATTCCACGATGTTATCAATTATGATTTGGGCCTTAACTGGGATGTACGCATTTACATTGCCCTAACCCTGATACCCTGCCTGTTTATTGGACAAATTCGTAATTTAAAATGGCTGGTACCCTTTTCGGCAATGGCTAATGTCTTTATTGTGGTGACATTCGGAATTACCCTTTATTATATGTTCAGTGAACCATTGGTGTTCAGTGATAAACCATTGGTGGCTAAGGTGACACAGATTCCATTGTTCTTTGCCACGGTCATTTTTGCCATGGAAGGTATTGGTGTAGTTATGCCAGTGGAAAATTCCATGAAGAAACCACAACATTTCTTGGGTTGCCCGGGTGTTTTAAATACGGCCATGATAACCGTGGTGTCGCTGTACGCCATTATTGGTTTCTTTGGTTATGTGCGTTATGGTGATATTGTGCGCGGTAGCGTTACATTGAATTTACCCGATGGTGCACCGTAAGTTTTGAAGCAAGATCTATAACAAGATCTATTAATGAGGTCACCCAAGTAACAATCGAAATCGGAAAAAAGCTGTTTTTTTTCTCAAGTCTACTGTCAAAAATGTCGACTTTGTTTACGTTTTCATTCAATTCACAATAATGCATTTTGACAGCAAACTTGAGTGGTGCAGATATCCAGCTGGTCTCCCTGGGTGACCTTATTTATAGGCCATGTTTTGAAGAGATTATCATTTTTCCAAATGTGAATTTGATTTTATTTTGATTTTCTTTTTTAGATTGGCCGATGCTGCCAAATTGTTAATGGCCATTGCCATTCTCTTTACCTATGGCCTGCAGTTCTATGTGCCCAACGATATTCTGTGGAAGAAAATCAATCATAAATTCGATCCCAAAAATCACAATAGAACACAAATTCTGCTTAGAACGGGTATTATTTTAATAAGTGGTGGTATTGCTGCTGCCATACCAAATTTGGAACCCTTCATCAGTTTGGTGGGTGCTGTATTCTTCTCACTGCTGGGTAGGTGTAAAATAAATGAAATCTTCTTTTGTTATTTTTATTAATTTTTTTTATTTTGTTTATTTTCTTTTCAGGCATCTTTGTGCCCAGTTTTGTAGAATCGGTGTATTTGTGGCCCAATATGGGTTTCGCCAAATGGAAGCTAATCAAAAACGTTTTGTTGTGCATCTTGGCCATTTGTGCCTTGGTGGCCGGTGCCACAGTCAGTATTGAAGAAATCATTGACATGTATAAATAATTTCAAGAAAATAATTATACAATCCTCGCCCCCTTCTTCGATCCCATTAAAAAAAAAACATTCCCACAGTTTTTAAATACCATAAATTAGTTTTTTAAGCATGTAGATATAATTATTAATTAATAAAATGTATTATTATTTTTTTGTTTTAGTTATTAATATTGAAATTGTGGATACTATTTTATAAGTTAGAAAAAACGACAACCCTATTGTTAATGTTTTTGCTTTGCTTTGTTATTTTTTAAATTGTATTTATTATATATTTTATAAAATTATATATTATAATATATATATATATATATATATATATATATATAAGGTGCTTTCTATTTAATTCATTTGTTTGCAACATAATAGACTGCCCCTTTGCAAATTGATATTATTTCATAAATCACTTTTTTTTGTAATTTTAATATGGAAATTCTCTCTGAGTATCTGTTTTTAACCATTTTGTTTTAATATACATTTATTTATTCAACTAATATTATTTTTAAGTAAGATTTTTTAAAAGTAATTTAATTTTTTTTTTATCAAAATTCTATCTAACCTCAAAATTGTTTTCCCACTTTGCATTAATATATTATTAATATTATTATTTGTAATTAATTTTTTTTGTAATGTTGACTCTTTTCTTTAACAAATTTTTGTTTAGTTTTTTATTTTATTTGATCAAAATTCTACCTAACCTCAAAATTAGTTATTTTTTTAATGCCAGCCCCTAGTGATATTTTTTCTTTCCATATGTATATGCGCACAATTTGTACTTAAAAACAAAATTATATTTAAGTTTTATAACATAAGAAAAAAATGTATTAATACGACGATTTTAAAACTAGTTTAAGAATGTCAAAAAAATAAATTGAAAAAGAAATATATTTTTTACAAAAACAAATTTTATACTCTAGAATTGTTTTGGATATAAATAAGCAATTTGAAACAAATGACATACTTAAAAAAAGTACTAGAAAGAATACGCCAATAAGTCCAATCCAAAATCTATTAATAAGATCACCAAGCTGTCAAAAATCAGCTGTTTTTCCTCAAGTCTAATGTCAAAAATTTGCTATTTGTTTACATTTTCATAAGGTAAGCTTGAGAAGCAGCTTATATACAGCTGATCTTCCTGGATGAACTTATTTATAGGCCTTAGTTCAATCTTCCAACAATATACTGGCCAAGATCTATTAATAAGGTCATTCAGCAAGCGAAAGTCAGTTGTTTTTTTTTCTCAAGTCTAATGTTAAAAATTTTGACATTATTTACGTTTTCATAATGGATGAATTTTTGCAGCAAGCTTAAGAAGCAGCTTATATCCAGCTGGTCTCCCTGGATAACCTTATTAATAGGCCTTGATACAGGATTGAATAAAATATTAGGTTGTGCAAAGTTTGGCAAGCCAGGTAAAACCTAATTAAATCCGTTTATAAAGCCGTTTGATTTGTCTGTGTATCGTTATGAAGATTTCCAGAAAACTATAATTTTGTGTTAACATGGCGACTCTGCCAAAACTCGGTTCTAAGCAAGATCTATTAAGAAGGTCACCCAGCTAGCAAAAGTCAGCTGTTTTTCCTTAAAGTATTAGACTTGAGGAAAAATTTGGACTTTGTTTACATTTTCATAATGGAAGTCAATTCACAATAATGGATTTTGACGGCAAGCTTGAGAAACAGCTGATCTCACTGGATTGACTTCCATTATGAAAATGTAAACAAAGTTCAAATTTTTGACATTAGACTTTAGGAAGAACAGCTGACTGTCGCTAGCTGGGTGACCACATTAGTAGATTTTGGCTATTACTATCCATTCGAATTATTTCTATATCCTTGCGCATTCAAGTTTTGAAGAAAAGAAAATTCCGCTGATTTTTCCTAAATTTTGGCATCACTGGCAAATACTTGTCGTCCGCGCCATCTATTGAATATGTAGATCCAAAAATCTATTTTGCAAAATTTAAACCTCGATGAACAGCAATAATCTTGTCAAGATTTATATATTTCGAAAGTTGGACTCGAAAAACTGATATGCACTGATTTGATTCATGTCCATCAATAGATGGCGCTGATGCCGACAGATTTTTAAAAAAACAACACACCTCATTTGTTTTTGCCATAACCTTTTTTGTCGTGCAGATATTAAAATAAAATTGGTGTCATATAAAAGGTACAGTCGTATACTTTCTTGTTAAATAAATAAAATCTGAAAACTTGCTGAATATTTATATGAAACTGGTATTTATTGGCTTCCAAATTATCCTTCATAATATTTTATTTTTTAATGACTAGCAATGTATTATATTTTTTCTGTTAACATGGCAACTCTGTCAAGGAATACTTCATAGTGTATGTTCCAAGCGAATTATTTCTGTATCATTACGCATTCAAAAGTTATTAAGAATCTAAAAATTAGATGATTTTCTCTAAATTAGGTAGCACTGGCAAACACTTCTTGTCAGCGCCATCTATTGGTCTTAAGAATTATTTTTTATAAAATCCAGGCCTTAGCTGGACTTTAAACATGATTTTTTATAAAATCCAGGCCTTAGCTGGACTTTAAACATGATTTTTTATAAAATCCAGGCCTTAGCTGGACCTTAAACATGATTTTTTATAAAATCCACGCCTTAGCTGGGCCTTAAAATTATTTGAAAAATATTCACGGCTTAATTGGGCCTTAAAAATTATTTGAAAAATATTCACGGCTTAATTGGGCCTTATTATTAAAATCCACGCCTTTCTTGGGCCTAAAAATATTTTTTAAAAAAATCACGCCTATGTTGACCTTTGAAAAAAAATTTTAGAAATCCACGCATGTGTTGACCCTTAAAACATATTCCCTAAAAAAATTCACGCCTATATTGATTCATGAAAAACCATTTTTAAAAAAGTCTTCCCTATTGTGTATATTTTTGATATCGTCGTTAAAAACAAATATTGAATATATTAATATTAAATATTGAAATATTATCAATATTAAATATTGAAATAGACACCTTTACATATTTTTTTTTAATTATGTATATTTACAACATTTTCATTTTTTCCTTCTCAAATATTTAACAAAACCATTTGCATTTATATATTTAACTGTACGACTTAATACGATTAGGCAGCAGGGTAATCTTAACAGCCCGTGCATCATATTCCTCACCATCAATGGTATAGGTGGCCATATCGAATTCTTTGGGTTGTAATTCAATTGTTCGACTCTTCAGCAATAGACTAGGTTCCATTTTCTTTTTAATGTTGGTAATGAAATCAATTCCCGCCGATATGGTTTCAATAATTTCAGTATTTAATTCGGCAAACGATTGACCATTTTGTTTCCACACAATATCCATTTGTTTGGCCTCAACGGTATGCTCCTCTTTTTCGCCACATCTATCATTGACCACCGTTGTTGCCATGGGCGTCGAGGGTTTCGATACAAACAGTTTTTTGAATACACGTTGGGTATGTGTCTTGGTTTCAGCACATTTTGTACAACCCGGACAGGGTGGTGTACACGTTAGATTGGCTTTAATGCTGTGTGACATTTCATTGGTAAAGCTAGTGGCCAAGGCGGCAGCATGATGTCTTAGAAAACCAAAATACCAATATTTATCTTTTTTAGCTTCAATGTCACGCAACAGGCCCCATGAAAACTTTTGCAACCCGTAGATGGGTCGATGGGGTTCTGGATCATTTTCATCGGGTAAAACTTCATATTTCAGAACATTGCGATAGCGTAAACGTTCCTGTAGCAACGACAACACACAGGCCGACAAACATTTGACATATTCAACTTTCTTTTTCGAATCGACGGGTAAAAATGCAGACACAGTTTCATTACGTTCACCCAAGGGCAGTAGCAATATTGGACAAGGATCATCTTTGCGGCGCAGTAGACCGGTTACCACTTCGGAGGAGGTGCCATCACCACCGGCAATAACCAAAACATCAGGTAAATTGGGTAAGGATTCAATTAAGGTTTTGGCATGGCCAATTTCTTTGGTTTTTAATATTTCCACAGAATAACCGGCTAAATGCAAGATGGGTTCACAATATTTGCGAAAGGTTTTCTCACACGCCTTATCATTGGCCACGGGATTTATTACCACCAAGGCGCGTTGTGGTATTTTTGATGTCGATTCGGGTAGATTTCGACAAACTTCTTGCATATGACTTGATATTTGATGTTCGGTCCATAAATAATTGCCGCCATAGCCCAAAGGTACAGAGGCAAAGGCCAATTTTTTCCAATGATTTCGGACAAATGTGAACATGGTGTGGCAGAGGCTATTTTATTCTGAAAGAGAAAAAAGGGGATTAAAAAATGGAACTTTACTTGTTTGCCTACCAGATTTAAAAGTGAATGATATTCCCCGTAAATGCATGTAAGGCACCCTAATATTGTTTTGCTGTTAAGTAAGAGAGCCAACCACTGGGAAAGTTGTGAATGTGAAAGAAACCTTCTGTTTCTGAATTGGAAAACTTAAATATTATATATTTAATAAAAATATACTTTATTTTATTATATTACACTTATGTCCTTGTTTATTTTTCAATAAATATTTCATTTAATTTCAGTTATTTGTTCATCAATGTCCCTTCATGGTCGCGATTGGAGCGAGAGAGCATATATTTGACACTTGTTATCACTTCATACAAGAGTTTACACGTTATGTTCTTATGTTTGTGTTTATATGTAATTGTTTCTATTTTAATTTTTATTTATAATTAATAAACTTACACATAAAAATAACAAAAAAATAGCCCAGCAACACACTTTTTATATTTTGCTGATGATTGGCCCCCTTTTGGCAAATGACATTTGCCGCAAAAGTTGGGGTTGTCATGTTTGCAAGTACTTGGTAATCGATAACAATATTCGATAATTGAAAATGTAATATCGTTGAAAATAAAAAAATAGATTGTTATAATAAAAATTAAGATACTTAAGTACTATTTTTGTTAAAATGTATAGAAATGAATTAAATAATAATTAAAAATGTATAGAAAATTCTTAAAATTAATTAAATATAAATCT